ACTGAAATGAAGTTACTAATCAACCCGCTAATCCAATTGCTCACCACAGTAATCAACAAATTAATTTCAAATGATGAGTACTAATCCCCCCAATACTAAGTCTTTAAAAATTATACTATGGAACGCAAACGGTTTAAAACAAAACGAACCTGAATTACTACACCTTTTAATACAAAGTAAAATTGACATTGCACTAATAACGGAAACTCACTACACTTCCAATACTAATCACTTTTTCCCTGGGTTCCAAGTTTACAGAGCCGACCACCCTGACGGAACCGCCCACGCGGGATCCGCCATCTTAGTTTCAAACCAAATCCAACATTATCCACTTCAAAGCCTCCAACTGCCATCAATACAAGCAACGAATATCCAAATCGTACTAAATCATATTCCAACTACACTATCCTCTGTTTACTGCCCTCCTCTACCGGCAATAACGCCCCCTCAAATTGAAAACTTCTTAAAGTCACTCGGGCGCTCATTTATCGCCGGTGGCGATTTCAACGCTAAGAACACACAATGGGGTAGCAGATTGACAAACTCTCGAGGGAGATTATTTCTTGACAACATTCAAAAACTAGGCGGCTCTTTTATATCTCCAAGCTGTCCAACCTACTGGCCTACTCACACAAATCGTCAGCCTGACATACTAGACTTCTTTCTCACCTCAATTCCAAAACACATAAGACACAAAATTCAAAATAGTTGTGAAATTTCATCAGATCATACTCCAGTCATCCTTGAAATAAACGGCTCAATGACCTGCAAACCTCCCCGGCCCTCCCTCGTAAAAGGTCCTGTCAACTGGGAAAAATTCTCCACCATCTTAGAAAACAACACAAACTTAAAAATCTCTCTAAAAAACACCAGTGAAATTGAAATAGCGTCTCAAGACTTTGTCAACTCAATAAGAGCAGCGATCTCCAACTCATCTTATACTCCTAATCCAAACAAACCACCAAATTCAAACCAATACGATTTACCTCCCAACATAAAAGCCCTAATTATCGAAAAGCGTCGTGCACGCTCACGTTGGCAATACACCAGACTACCATCCGACAAAAAAAGATACAATCACCTGTCCAATACCATAAAAACAAAAATTCGAATCCACAAATCCGAGTTATTCGAACACAAATACGAGTCCTTATGTTCTAAAGATGGATCCTTATGGAGAACCACCAAAAATATTTTAAAAATAAAAGATCATCCCTTCCATTTAAAAAAAAACAGACGGTACCTTAGCCTTCTCAGATATTGATAAAGCAAACACTTTTGGTAAACACCTATCCGAAATATTTACTCCTCATCACGATATAATTCCCGAACCAAGTCACTTAAACCAAATTACAAACTTCCTTACTAGCCCGCTACCAATGTCACTCCCTACCAAACACACATCTCCCAGAGAAATAAAAAACTTAATACAAAAGTTAAAAATCAAAAAATCACCTGGACATGACCAAATAACAAATAAAATACTTCAACATCTTCCTAAAAAATCAATAATTCTTCTCACATACATTTACAATTCTATGTTGAGAATGTCCTACTTTCCGTTAATCTGGAAACTATCTGTAATTATCCTTATACATAAACCCAACAAACCAAAAAATGAACCCTCCTCATACAGACCAATTAGCCTGTTACCAGTATTAGGGAAATTATTTGAAAAAGTGATGCTTAAACGAATTAGACCCATTCTCAAGTCCCACAAAATTATTCCAAATACCCAATTTGGTTTCAGAGAAAACCACTCCACAACCCACCAGATCCACCGAATTGTCGACAAAATAGCCTCGTCGTTTGAGCTCAAAAACTTCTGTCCGGGAGTATTCTTAGACGTATCACAAGCGTTCGACCGTGTCTGGCACACCGGATTACTCTTTAAGCTAAAAATGTTCCTCCCGACTCCACTCTACTTGTTGACTAAATCATACCTACAAAACCGCTCTTTTCTCGTCCGCCAAGGAGACTCCCTCTCATCACAATTCCAAATCTTAGCAGGAGTACCTCAAGGAAGTGATTTATCACCAGACCTCTACAACATTTACACAGCTGACATTCCCAACTCCGAAAATACACTGATAGCCACTTACGCCGACGACACGGCAATCCTCTCATCCCATTCCGATTCCACAACAGCATACCAAAACCTTCAAATTCATCTTGATAATATTTCAAAATGGTCCACCAAATGGAGAATAAAAATCAATTCAGACAAGTCCTTTCACATTCCTTTTACTTTGAGAAAACCTGTTCTTCCTAATATCTATTTTCAAAACAATCCAATCCAAACCACAACTCAAACCAAATACTTAGGTTTAATTTTAGACAAGCGTCTAACTTGGGGCCCACACCTCAAAATCAAAAGAAAGACTCTTAACTCCAGACTTCATCTTTTACGGCCTATTCTCAAGTCCAAACTCTCTATTGATAACAAATTACTAATATACAAATCTATGTTAAAACCTATCTGGGCCTACGGCATCCAAATATGGGGATGTGCCAAGCCTTCCCAAATACGGACTATACAAGCCTTCCAGTCTATTTCCCTTCGCCTAATAACATCTGCGCCATGGTACGTCTCAAACCTCTCACTACATAAGGATCTTAAAATTGAAACAGTCTCTAAAACAGCCAAAAACTACTACAAAAATTTACACACCAAAACAGCTAACCACACAAATCCACTGATTTCCAACTTGGCCAGTGAATTCATGCCTAACAACCCTCCACGTCGATTAAAAAGACACTGGTGTCGCGATCTCCTGAATCCCGACCAGCACTAATATAAAAAAAAAAAAAAAAAAAAAAAAATAATAATAAATAATAAAACCTCTCCCCCAAGCTAGAGGGTATCCACACTGGTGGGCCTCCCTCCTCAAGCCATTCATGTTGTTGTATTCTTTCATTACCAAATTTACTCATTGTATATATAAAATTACAGATTGTAAATATTCTATTTTATCTAATAAAAAAAAAAAAAAAAAAAAAAAAAAAAAATATAAGATATTCAGGGAAGAAATTAATTCTTTTGAATATATTTTTACCGTAGCTCGGGAGCACGAATGGTATTAGGATCTTAATATTACAAATAAATAACGATTGATCTAAATTATTATTAATACAAACAAATTAATTATTATAACTTACAATTTACGAACAAAGTTACCAAAAATGTAGGATTGTACGGAGTTCAGGTGCACGTGATGGACTCGCGGAGAACTGCCATTCTCTTACATAGGGTCATAGGGATATTGGCCGGAGCCTTACAATCATAAAATATATATGTGTCACCTAAACCGGAGGGGTTTAATATATTATTATAGTCAGCGCATAATATGCCTAATGTGCATATTATGATGCTTATAAAATAAACGTAATGATGTAACATACGTTACATTACCCCCCTCCCTTTTTTTTTTGAACATTGGAAGAGACTACCAAGAATATTTTTAAACATTTTAATATACCTATTTGTTTGTTTTAATACCTACCTAATTTGTCAGGTGTGTACCAAAATGAGGCAATGATTCCAATCTCCAAGACCTAGACGACTATACTAGTTTATAATTTATACTCACATAATCATGTATGACCTGCGTTACAATGTGTAAAAGACGAATGTAAAATATGAAAAAAATTGTGTGTTTCTAAGATGTAGACATTTGATGTTCTCGATTATCTATCCGAATTTATGCATGGACTCATTAAAATACTTAAGTTCCTAAGAAAAAAATATATAAATTCGTAAAAGACGTGGTAAACTAGAGCGTTGTGCATATATGTATACAAATACGGAAAATAGCGAACTTCAAGTGATTATAACTTCGAAACCAATGATTTGCGAGAATTTTTTGGTAACCATAGTTTTCAAAACGTCAATTAAATTAACTCTCGATAAAAAAATGATAGAAACTTAAGTGAAATTGTACCCAAACTGTGATAGACTATACACATAATAATAGGGAATAATGAAAATTTGACACGTCTGACTAGCAGCGCTCGGTAGATAATGGAACTACGCCGTAACGAGTTGTGACCGGGCAGTCACGTACTCGCGTGTACAAATCGTACTGCCGATGACTAACCTGTTCTTTATAACCGTGGTTTCAGATAATATATCAATGTTTGCAAAGTAAAAAAACGTGTTTACAACAAGCTGACTGTTCTTATAGTGTAACATAATATTAATAATATTACAAACAACATTATGAAATATTTTGAATAGCTATAACCAGTACTGATATTATAAAAATGCTGTAATAGTATGTTAGATTATAATATGTTTATTATTATTATTTATTAACAATGTCTACCCGCCACCGACGCTCATCGAAAGTCATGTAAATATTGACTATATTTATGTTTATTGTCGTAACTCGTAAACAATGACTGCAGACGGCTGCATGATGACGAATGTAAGATAACTAATAGTGTAATATAAATTATATTATTATTAATAATTGTTTAGCAAGAATGTTATCATTATCATGTAATCAATTTAAAATACAGTCCACTGCACTTATCACATTTAAAAACTAACCTCCAATTTAGAAAAATGTGAATTATTGCATGTCAGGCCTAGTCGGGTTATGTCGCCGAGACAGTTATGTTTTTTTGTTGAACTGTTTAAATAAAAGGAACAAAACCTACATCATTTTTTTGCATTTACCTTTTTTTTCCCATCATTTATTGGTCAATTCGAGCAGGATATGAATTCGAGATTTGTGCGCGTTACATTCGCGTATACATCGTTCGTCGGTTTCGTACGCGTTACATTCGCGTGTCCGACGGTCATATTCTAATTGTCGTGCGCGTTACATTCGCGTGTCCGACGGTCATATTCTAAGTGTCGTGCGCGTTACATTCGCGTATACATCGGTCGTCGGTTTCGTACGCGTTACATGCGCGTTTCCGTCTGTGTCGTGCGTTGTACAATCGCGTAATCGGCTTTCCGTCTATTTTGTATTGACTTACCTAATTGATTCAAGATGGAGGAGAAGTTGACAACTTTACGAAAAACTCTCTCAAACAAGGAAAAGCTGATAAGGAAAAAGTTACACATAGTCACCACATTGACAATGGAGGGACTGGCGAGTCACGAAATAAAAGTGCATTTAGAACTTGCAGAAAGTGCGTTTACAACGTATGCAAATGCACACGATGAGCTGTCCTTGTTGGTCGAGGACTCTGAGGTTGAGTTAATGATTGACGCCTTGGAAGAGGTATCTCGGACGTTCATTAAAATCAAGGGGATTTTGCAAAGTACATTAGACTTAAGGCAAACTACACACGAACCTCAAAACGAAAATGCACTTAGCGAACAAGGGCAACAATCCATCAGGTTACCTCCCATGAACCTGCCTACATTCACAGGAAAATTGGAAGATTGGTATGCTTTCCACGACCAATTTTCATCTGTTATTCACGTTAATAAATACATTGACAACACCAGAAAAATGCACTATTTAAAATCATGTTTATCAGGAGAAGCGGCTAATGTAATTGCATCATTATCATCGACTGGTAACAATTATCTGGAGGCTTGGTCTTTGTTGACAAACCGTTATGATAATGACCGTCTTGTTCTACAAGTACACTTACAACATTTGTTCAATCAACCACACATTCAGAGTGAAGCTGTTAGCTCCTTGAAGGCATTGGTTGATACAACAAATAAACATCTTAGAGCATTAAAAGTATTAAAACAACCCACTGAGTCTTGGGATACAATTATAATTTACCTTATATCATCCCGTTTACCAAGTGAACTCAGAAAAGCATGGGAAATTGAATCATCTGCCTATGAGTCTCCATCTTGGTTACAAATGTGTAAATTTATGGAGAAAAGAATACACGTGTTAGATTTATTACAACTACAATCATCCAGTACACCCAGATCTAAGCTTACCAACAAGTGCAACAGTCGAGCAACAACTCATGCTGTGACTGCAGCACAAGGTAATAAGCAGCCGTGCAATATTTGTTCACAGCATCATATTATTTATCAGTGTAATTTATTTATGAAGTCAACAGCGAGTGAGCGACATGCATTCGCTAAGAAGGCCAAATTGTGTATAAATTGTCTACGGGCCTCACATTCTTCCAGTCAATGCTCATCTGATAAAACATGTAAAGAATGTGGTGGTAAACATCATACACTTTTACATTTTGGTGACTCTAAGGGAGAAAACAATACTTCTGAAGTGCCCACGTTGACTCTCAAGACACAACCATCGACATCTAGTGGAATAGACACTGTGGCAGTTAATCATGGTGCCTTAAGAGAAAAGTCAACGGTCATATTATCAACAGCAGTGGTGCGCGTGTACGGACCAAGTGGACGGTCAGAACTATGCCGTGCATTAATAGACACTGCATCTGAATCACATTTCATTACTAAAGCCTTAGCAAGTCGGTTAGGTTTAAAAACATTGCATCAGCCAATGATAATTGATGGTGTATCAAATGCTTCTACAACCACATCTCAAGTTTCCACGTTCAATATTTCTCCTAGGACAAATGGCAAACAAATGACGTTAACTGCCTTAGTGTCTCCTAAGATAACTGTGGATCTACCCACTGCAGCCGTGGATGTTTCACAGTGGACTCATTTAGAGCAGGTTGAGTTAGCCGATCCAACATTCCATGTGCCCAACAAAATCGACTTACTCATAAGTGCTGAATACAGTCTGGATATAATGCTCGATGGTAAAATACAAGGACCCAAAGGTACGCCGTCGCTACACAACTCTATCTTTGGGTGGATAGTATGTGGAAAATTATCTAAACCCCACAATGAACTATCAATGTTTAAGTCGGTCACGTGTTGTACCACGACAGTTGAATCACTTGTGAACCGATTTTGGGAACTGGAAGAGGTACCACGCATCACATGTATGTCCAAAGAAGACCAACAGTGTGAAAAGCATTTTGTTGAGACATTTACGCGAGAAAGCTCTGGTCGTTACACTGTCAGACTTCCTTTTGTAAAAGAACCACCGCTAGTGAACAATTCTTACCAGCTCGCTGTTCAACGCTTAAAGAAAGTTGAGAGAAGTCTGCAGACCAAACCTGCCTTACACCAACTCTACAAAGATTTTATGAGTGATTATGTAACAGCCCATCACATGACATTAGTAGAGTCCACTAGTCCAAGTCCGATTATATTCATTCCACATCATCAAGTTTTAAACCCATCCAGTACTACTACGAAGCTTCGTGTTGTGTTTGATGGTTCATGCACCATGGACACAGGAAACTCATTGAATGAACTACTTCACAAAGGACAAAAATTACAGAAAGAGGTAATTGACATATTAATCCGTTTCCGTCTACCTCGCTATGTTATTACCGCAGACATTCGACAAATGTTCCGACAAATCTTAGTACACCCCGACGATCGTGTCTACCAAGGTATTGTCTGGCGTCCAAATGAATCTAGTCCAATAAGAAGTTATACCTTAAATACGGTGACGTATGGGCTTATCACATCACCATACCATGCTTTACGAGTCCTGAAGCAATTGGCCTACGACGAGCAAGGGACTCATCCTGAGGCAGCTGCGGTGCTACAGCGAGATTTCTATTTGGATGAGGTAATGACCGGACGAGATGACATTACTGCCACAATCAAGCTACACCAGGAGCTACTACACTTGCTCGCCCGAGGTGGGTTTGAACTACGTAAGTGGGCCACCAACTGTGAAGCAGTTTTAACGCACATTCCGACAGCACTAAGAGCCACTCAACTAACGCTGATCGACCACATGGATCCGTCAATCAAAATATTGGGTATATCATGGAATGCTCAACGCGATACGTTCTCATTTCATGTTGAATCTTCCAAGGTTGGTGAAACATGTACTAAACGCTCATTACTTTCGGAAATCGCGAGGATTTTTGATCCGTGTGGATGGTTAAGCCCACTTGTGATCGTTGCGAAGATCATTATGCAACACCTGTGGAAGAACAAGTTGGATTGGGACGACCCGCTGCCTGACACACTGATCAAATGGTGGTCGGATCATCGATCTTCCTACGGTGCTCTTCGCTTCTTTGAATTACCACGGCATTGCAATGACGAACACACTCAGGTAACCACATATAGTCTACACGGTTACAGTGACAGTTCGGAACAAGCTTATGCTGCTGCTCTCTACCTAGTGTCAGTGTTTCCTGACGGTAAATCATCATCACATTTAGTTCTGTCTAAGACCAGAGTTGCACCTCTTAAGACCCAATCAATACCCAGGCTTGAGTTGTGTGGTGCCACGTTGTTAGCATCCTTGACCAAACACCTATTAGAGGCACTGTCTACAATCAACATAGAATCAGTCAACTTGTGGACGGATTCTACAATCACTCTACAGTGGATTCAGAGTGAACCACACCGGTGGACTACCTTTGTATCCAATCGAGTGAGTCAAATTCAAACCTGGTGTCCCTCAGCGGTGTGGCGGCATGTCCCGTCTCAGGACAATCCTGCGGACCTGGCCTCCAGGGGCCTGTCAGGTGATCAACTTATTACAAATGCCTTGTGGTGGCATGGTCCACAATGGCTATTACCCCCCAATCCATGGCCACAGTCTACGTTTGAATGTGAGGATCCAAATCAAACTCTCCAAGAGGAACGTAAGCCACAGGTAACTACACATGTGACCACAGAAGCTGACGCGTTTAACTCCAACTTGCTAGCTAAGTACTCGGATTTGAGTAAGTTATTGCATGTCACTTGTTACATTTTACGTTTCTATCACAACTGCCAAAAACCTGTAGCTCTTCGTCTAACTGGATTACCAACTGTGTGTGAATGGCGATCAGCCAACTTAAAATGGATCCGGTTAGTACAACAGGAATGCTTTCCACTCGACCTTCATCAGCTGCGACTGGGTCTCCCCGTCAAGTCATCCAGTACTCTGGTCAGCCTAAACCCCTTCCTTGACATAGCAGGGGTCTTACGCGTTGGTGGTCGACTCACTCAGTCTAGTTTACCTTATGACATGAGGCATCCAGTTCTTTTACCAAAGGCACATCTGTATACAACTATGGTAGTACGCTCCATCCACCTTCTGCACCAGCATGCTGGTCTCAATGTCACTATGTCTCTGGTGCGGCAGAAGTATTGGGTTGTACATGGGCGCAGCATCATCAGAAAGGTTCTTCATGATTGTGTTAAGTGTTACAGATTTCGACAAGTCAAAACCCACCAACTCATGGCTGACTTACCGGCTTTTAGAGTTAATTACGCACCAGTGTTCAGCCATTGTGGAGTTGATTTTGCCGGACCTTTCAGTACTAAGCCCTCAGTTGGACGTTCAAGAATTGTGTACAAAACATATTTAGCTCTCTTCATTTGCCTGACCACCAAGGCTGTACACCTAGAAATAGTGAGTGACTTGTCAGCCGATACCTTCATCGCCACACTGAAACGTTTTGTTGCCAGACGAGGCTATCCAACTAAAATGTACAGTGATAATGGTACGAATTTTACTAGTACACATCATAAACTACATGAAGTGTATAAATTGCTGTGCTCTCAACAATTGAACTAAGCCCTGAATACTTTCTGTTTGCCCAGAGAGATAGACTGGCACTTTATCCCACCAGCTTCGCCACATTTTGGTGGTATTTGGGAAGCTAACATCAAATCTTGTAAACGCATACTCCAACGCATAACTCTAAATAGTGTCTTTATATATGAAGAATTACACACATTGTTTTGTCAAGTCGAAGCGCAACTTAACTCTCGACCACTTTGCCCCGCCAGTATGGAAGCCACCGATTACTCAGCACTGACTCCCGGGCACTTCCTGTTAGGTAAAGCTCCTATGTCATTACCTGAAGTCGACATTCCTGAGCCAACACCTACCAATCGACTCACCAGGTGGAATAGAATCCAGAAACTGCAGCAGTCCTTCTGGAAACAATGGTCGCAAGATTATTTGGCTACACTACAGCAACGGAATAAATGGACCACTCCCCAGCCTAACCTCCAAGTCCACGATCTCGTTCTCCTCAAGAAAGAAAATATGGCTCCCACTCAGTGGCCCCTAGCCAGAATCCTCGAGGTGCACCCCAATCCTGCAGACCACTTCGTGCGAGTTGTCACACTGAAGACAAAGGATTCGGTGCTAAAGCGTCCTATTAATAAACTCATAAGACTGCCTATCGAACATTAGTTAACTGGTTAAAGCCAATTAATTCAATTATTCAATTATTGGTTTTGTTATTAATCAAGAAATTTTGTGTCACCTTATGTGAATTTTATATTGTTATGATACTATAGTTTATACTCTGTTGAAATCTATCTGTAACTTACCCATTATGCCATTTTTACAAATGTTTAAATTATTTATTTATTTATTCCACTTCCTTTTGAGAATACCTCTCAAGGGGGCCGGTATGTTTAGCAAGAATGTTATCATTATCATGTAATCAATTTAAAATACAGTCCACTGCACTTATCACATTTAAAAACTAACCTCCAATTTAGAAAAATGTGAATTATTGCATGTCAGGCCTAGTCGGGTTATGTCGCCGAGACAGTTATGTTTTTTTGTTGAACTGTTTAAATAAAAGGAACAAAACCTACATCATTTTTTTGCATCTACCTTTTTTTTCCCATCAATAATATTAGAACTCCCAAGTTCGTTATTCGTTTTTTCTCTAACATATTTTATTATACGTATAGTGAGTTACAAACGTGCAGCTGCTGCGATTATTACTGAGAAGAATTTTATTATAATATGGGCGCTGGTACTCGACTCGAGCTCAACTCGACCTATACCTATACAAATATATTGAAAACCGCTATTTTCCTATAGTGCAGTGATTCTCAACCTATTTTTGTGGACCACCTAGATGGAGGCTTTTAAGTAGGACTACAGACCACCAAATTTAGAAATCTAAACCTTTGAATTCTAATGATGCCCAGGGCCTCACAAAACCTGGGGACAGAACTATTATTAGTATATTAATACATCGCAATAGCCAATACCCTAAAGGCTAGTTCAGACTAGTAATTTAGTGAAGTAGCGAGTATTTTATCAACTAATCATGTATGAACAGATTGATTTAGTCGATGATTATAGTAAAGTAATTTAGTTTAGTTAATCCATTAATATTCCATTTTATTCTATTTTTTTGGTCGAGTAGCACTTACCCCCTCTTTCCCAACTGATAACTAAATAACCTAGCCTTGGGTTGAACGCATTATTTTAGTTTATTTTATAAATTGTCATTATCGTTGACACAATGTCGTTCCGCTGGAACGAAAACACATTTAAATTTGTTTCAGAATATATAAAACACGAGTCTTTATGGAATATAAAATGTCTGCTGTATAAAAATAAACAGACTAAGCACTCTGCTTGTAATGAATTACAAAAATTATGAATATACCTGGATTCGGTGAAAAAGAGATAAAGTTAAAAATTAAAAACATAAGGTCAGTAAAAGTGTATTCAATATTAAATAGGTAACTATTAACTTCCAACACTCATTTTAAAATACATAAATAGGTCTATCTATTCACAAGAGCTAAAAAAAATAAAAGATTCGAAAAGATCCGGCGCCGGTAGTGACACTATTTACGTATCATCTATTAAATGGTTCAACATATTGAATGATACCCCACGTAATTAATTCTGAGTTGACGGAAAGTCACAGTAATTTGGTATGTATACTGTACTTATTTTAGTTTTAATGTAAGAATTAAAGTATACATTTTATATTAATTTAATAATTAAATTTTAATTGCTATTTATATCATTTTATACTATACAATTATATAAATAGCACTACTTATTATTATCTTACTACTAGTATTTTTGTTATTATCATGGATTTTTGTGAACAATAATTAATCAAATACAAATAACTTATAAATATTTTTTTTTTTTATTATTTTTAGAAGAAAATATTCAATCTATATCTTAGACATAATAAGTATATGTGCGATAAGGGAAACAAACAATAGGGTGATATACATATATTTGAGGAAAGAAGCCACCCACTGATGACACTTTCGTCTTGGTTTAATCATATGCGATTTAGTTATATTTTAGTATTTATATTATATATTTAGTTATATCGTATATGTTATTATTTACAATAATAAATCTCTGCACCATTTACGTTTAAGTCGCCTTGGAGGGCTACCTTTGATTGTGAGGGATGATAAGTTTTTAATGAGTGGATTTGAATGAGAGGATACAGTTATGAAATTGTTTATAAAAACGTTTAGCTTCGTCATGAACAGTATTTAAGTTACAATCTAAATGTAGGGTATGGTTTGATATGTATGGAGGTGCGTTAAATAATTTCCTTAAGGTCATATTTTGGAAAGCTTGAATCTTTATTCAGGTTTGACTTTTTAGCATTTCCCCATAGCTGCAATCCGTATGTCCAAATGGGTTTTAATAAGGTTTTATACAAGAGAAGTTTGATATTAATAGGGGTGGCTTTGTTACCAATTAAATTCTTAAGCATACGTAGTCGATTGTTTAGGGATAGTCATTTTTCACATATGTGTAGAGCCCAGGTTAAACGTTGATCGAGGGTTAGACCAAGGTATTTTACTGAAGGTGATGATGGAATAGGGATGCCATAAAGTAGTACTCTTGGGCAAGGTGCTTGTCTAAGTGTACAAGTGGTGTGTACTGATAAATATATGTACTTATAAATATGAATGGATAATGTTTATATATTTAAAATTATACTATAAAGTTTTAAATTATTTTTTCTTTTAAATATAGAGTAAAAAAATATTTATATAAATGAAAATTGATATTCTAAATACATTGATTATTATTTATTAATGAAGTTTATAACTTTAGTTGACATTAAAAGAAAAAAAATTGTCTGAGTCACGTGTACATTTGTACATTTTAGGGCCAGTATTACAATCATGGGTTACTTGATATTGTGTTGATATGTTATTTGATATTGTATTTGTTTATTTTGTAGTTCCTTCAATTTAAAACTGATCTTTATAATAATTACCCATAATCTGCAAATTATGAATCAATAAAAACGCATAAGATTTCTTATAATTTAAATCAAACCTAAAATTGTACATCCTAATTGTGCATTTAAAAAAGTTGAACACATATATCGATGCATAATCAAATATTGCATTTAGTATGCCACAAATAGGTAATGTTATATGCATTATAATATAAACTAAAAAATAAATAGTGTAGTCTTTAATTGATTTTTTTTACACTACCTACACAAATTACCGTAGATGGAGGGGATTAGCCCCCTTAGTTAGTAGTTACTCCTTTGCAAATAGGTAATGTTATATGCATTGTAATATAAATAAAAAATTAGTAGTGTAGTTTATTGTATTAATTAATATTTTACAGAAATAATGCAGTAACACCTAGTCAAAAACTGTTGATGACGTTGAGATATTATGCAACTGGTTCCTTCATAGCAACTTGTGCAGATTTTGATGGAATTCATGAAACTACTGGTGGTAAAATTATAATAGAAGTGTCAAAGGCCATAGCATCACTTAGACCGGATTTCATTCATTTTCCAACAACTGATGATGAAATACTTAAAGTTAAAACAGGATTTCTTCAATATTGAAAAATTCCCATCATGTATTGGAGCGATAGATTGTACTCATATTAAAATTAGATCTCCAGGTGGTGATGATTCAGACATTTTTCGGAACAGGAAACAATTTTTCTCTCAAAACGTACAAACTATTTGAGATTCAAAATGTATAATACAAAACATAGTTGCTAGATGGCCAGGTAGTAGTCATGCGAACATATTTCGGAGCTCTGCTAATAATAGAGAGTTCAAAGATTGTGTATTAGTGGCTGACAGTGGTTACCCAATGTAGTCTTATATGATTACACCTATTTTTAATCCTATTACAAACATTGAAAATACTTTTAATGAGTCACAGATTCGTTCTCGAAATCCAATAGAAAGATCTTATGGTGTCTGGAAGAGACGATTTCCAATAATGAGTTTAGGAATAAATGTAAGAAACTTGGATACAGTACAAGCCATTATAGTGGCCACATCAGTATTGCAACACATTGCTCGTCAGTTTGGAGATGATGAGTTACTGAAGAACAAGAACATTTAATTGCACTAACATTATTTGATAAACCTCATGATACCGCTAGAAACCGCTTTTTGAATTATTTTAATACTTTATTGTGACTAGATTGAACAAAATAAAAATAAAATTGTATATAAAACCTCAGTGAAAAGCAATGCTAGTTCCCTCCTTATATATTTATCTACTTGTACATTTAAAATTAGAAATAAAGGAAATTATTATATATATATACCGTGTGTTCACCAATTTAGGGAACACTGAATTTCTCGGCTGGATTATGTTGGAATAAATCGAATTTTTTTTACAAGCTTGTGGTATATAAATACACATTTTCAGATAAATTTCAAATTTTTAAACCTTTCGGTACGCGCATGCGCAATGCAACTTCCTTTTTTTTAATAGTAACATGTAGTTTTGATACCAAATTCGGATAGACTTAATTTTTTTAAGTCATTTTGACCAGTTGACCATGGCTCTAAAACCAAAATTGACTGAATGAGAGCCATTCAAATTTCAATAAATAATACCTTTTTACAATTCACTATAAAATGCATAAAACCATTTATAATTATTAATTATTGGTTACTTTTTGAATATCTTTACGTATTTTTTTTGATACGTGTTATAAATATGATTAACATAATATGGATATAAAATTATTTAATCAAAATTGATTACAACAATTATTTTATAAAATATGAAGTTATCGAGGTTTTAAATAATAAGATAATCTTAATTGACATAGTTATTCAGATAATTTAATACTAGATAATCATAAGTTATTAATAATATGCATTTATTGCACATGAATATTCACTATTATTAGATGTTTAATACCATTAAGCGATAAATTATACCTACATATTAATTCGTAATTGTTTATAGGTAGAAAAACAGTTTTTATTATTAAATTTATACTTGAAAGTTTAGATAAAATGATTCATTTTTATGTTGGTGGTCATTGGTCATACTAGTACGATTAGTTGGGTTAAACGTTAAAATGAACAACCAAGAAAAAGTGCAAATTCTATTAATTTATGGTAAATGCGATAGAAATTCTCGGCAGTCAGCAAGAATGTATGCTGAACAATA